AATATCTACATCATTTTACAAGGAATCCTATTTCTATCTCATTCAAAGCTAAATGGCAGAAAACAATTTGAAAGGGAAGTATTTAAGGGGAGCTAAAACAATGTAAGTGAGTATTCCCAAAAGGAGTTGAACAGAATATACTCCTACCAAGGAATCTTAGTCTGAATAATTATGAAAAAACAATATCCATACTCAAAATACCAGAAAGACTTTCATCGATTTTAATATTGAACTTGGACAATTAAAAAGAATTTACCTAAACCTCAATGGGCAATAATATCAACACATTAATATGTTGCAATAATTAGGTTGCAAATCAACTTCCCTTTATTACCTCGTCTAAGCCAAGTAGGCCTGAAATTATGACCCAACCTAGGAGATAAGAGGACTGAGGCAACACATGAAAAAATGTTCAGCCTCACTAATCAAAGAAATGCAAATCAAAACCACACTGAGATACTTCCTAACTCCAGTAAGAATGGTCATCATTAACAAAAGAAAAACCAGCAGATGCTGGCAAGGAAGCAGAGAAAAGGGAATGCTTCTACACTGCTGGTGGGAGTACAAACCAGTTCAACCTCTATGGAAAACAGCGTGGCAATTTCTAAAAGAACTAGAAATTGACCTTCCATACGACCCAGCAATCCCCCTTTTGGGAATATACCCAGAGGAACTCAAATCATTCTACAAAAAAGATACCTACACACACATGTTTATTGCAGCACTATTCACAATAGCAAAACCATGGAACCAACCGTGCTGTCCATCAAAAGTGGAATGGATTATAAAACTGTGGCATATATACACAATGGAATATTATGCAGCCATAAAGAAAGACAAAATTACGGACTTCGCAGCAACTTGGATGGATTTAGAGTCCATCATACTCAGTGATCTATCGCAGAAACAAAGATCTGAGTACACATGTTCTCAGTCATAAGTGAACCCTTACCACCTATCATAATATTACCAGAAAGGAATTGGCAGTAGCTGGACACTGCCAGGGGCGTGGGGGGAGCACATAACATCAAACAGGATGCCTGATCCTAATCCAGGTGAAGTGAGGTCCAATAGGAGGCCCAAACTTCATTGGTACATAAACCACTTGTGTGCCCAATCCTGACTTGTATCCCACATCTCTAAAATAAAAAAGAGAATTAAGGCATCAAGACTTTTCCAAGACTGCCCAATTAGCAGGTGGTAGAACTTGCAGCTTGAACAAGGTTATTATAGCTCCAAGTCCAGCTATCAATGTGACTCTTGTTTAACTAATAAATAATATACTCTCTAGTTGCGTTACTTCCTCATGAAGTTTCCAGAACTGTCACATTCTCAACGCTGAGACAAGTCCTCGGATGTTTTTTGCATGAGGATGACACTACAAGTACCCTCAGTTCAGCTTTCTCATGTCAAAGTGCACTATGGCAACCAAGACATAAGGAAAGCTGGTCATTCAACTCCTGGATCATTCTGTTTGACTATATATATTTTAACTTTTTAGAATGGTCAATTCACTCTAGATGTGCCGTCACTAGGAGGCAAAAAATAAGGCTAAGGTAAAAGGTTTTGAGTATTCCCTAAGTTTCATGAGTGATTCTATACTGTAGCTACATACAATGTCACTTACAATCTATAATAAAATATTTTCACATTTTGATTAAAAGATTCATTAAAATAGCTAGCCTTTTTTAAAAAGTCAAAACTTTAGCAAATTTTGAAGTACAAACTTTAAATAAAGCCCTTTACAAGAGTCTTTTAAAAATCCTGCTAATCTTTCACATGTATTAAATTTCCCTACAACTGTTAATTCTAGTTATGATCTAAAACACAGGTGCTGATTAGGATATTAATCTTCATAATTCACCCTAATTTAACTTGCTGCCAAAACTCTCGGAGTGGAGCCAGGAGTAGTGGCTCACACCTATAATACCAGCACTTTGGGATACCAATGCAGGAGTTTGAGAACAGTCTGGGCAACACAGTGAGACCTTATCTCAAATTTAAAAATTAAACATAAACAAATAAACAAACAATAACCACCTCCCCCAAAAAACCTCCCAGAATGGCTTATTCCCAAATGGTTTCAAGCTTTAAAACCTATAATAATTCTCTGAGAAGCAGCTCCTCTTAAGGAGCCAGTTAAGAGCCCATCTCTACTTTCAGCCAGGGGTTCCATTCTCTACTGCCCCTTGCCTTGAAGAATGTTCTGGGTCAAAGTCTACTCTTCTCACTTGCTAACGTGTACTGTTTCCTGGGAGCCAGGAAAATCTCATTTCTTCTGTATGGAGGAGGTTTTCCCTGCAGCTGTGTTTTAGATCTTCTTAGGTGTAGAGCTGACCTCCCCACCCTGAGATTAATGGCTTATTTGTATCCACCACTTTCATCTCTCTAAACCAATACCCTCTTTCTAGATTACCTTAGCAACATGTACTAAGTAGGTTCTTCAGGAACTTGAAGGAGAAATTAATAACATACCTCTCAATAAAGAGAACAAAAAACAAAAGGATTTTATACATGAGGGCAAAGAAAAACTCATTACAAAGTTTAACAAGCTAAATTACACATTTTAGTTGGGATCCATACTCAGAAATGAATCTTACAGATTGTCCTATAAAAACTGAATAATAAACATCGCTTCTAGCTTCAGATAAGCAAGCTACATAACCTCTGTCATGTGGGAACTGGTGTGGCTATCTGAGGAACATGCAGGATGAGAGCTAAGATGGGGCTGCAGAGCCAGACTACCTAGGTCTCAAACTGTTCGCTATTCACACAGTTAACTTCTTGGTGACTTAGTTTCTTCATCTGTAAAATGGGAATGTTCAACTGTACCTTCATAGACTGATTATTGTGTTATAACTAAATGAGAAAGTCCATTAAACCAATTAGAACAGAGCCTGGCACAGAAGCTTTAAAGCACTCAAGAGATGATACTGATTTTTATTATTCCTTGTCCTTTCTCCAGGTGCTTAGTACACGCAAGTCTCAAAACCTAAAAAGTACAGTTGGTTTATTAGCCTAATTGAATCTTCAGGTAATGTCACCCAAATTATATTTCACTCAGTTGAATTGGCACACTCCAATGGCTTTCCCAGCATGGGCAGGACTGATATGCTCATCTGCAGCGAGGTCTGTTCACGGTTTAGAGGGTCATGCTATGTGACAGGGTCATCTGTTATGTAAGGCACTTAGCACGGAGGTTTCTTTTATATAGGAAAAGATGTATTTGTACAGATCTCCACAACTGCATGATTACACTTTGTGTCAGCAGATAAGGTTTTACAGAGATTTGGAGGCTGGGCTGGGCGTCTTTGGAGGACACCCTGGATTAGCATGCACGGCCTCCCCTCCTAATCCATATGTGGACTCAGTGTGTGGCTGGTGCTGGGACTGTGCAGAACACAGAATGTGAGGTTCAGTGGGGAGGATGTGAAACCAGCTGTGCAGTTAGGACTGTGAGAGCACGTCTCTGTCTCACAGTCACAACCAGAATGGAGTGGCATGAACAATCCACCTCCTATCCTCTTGCCTTATGCACCTTCAGTGGAGTCGCAACAAGCAGGAAGACGCCTTGGCTGCAGTTTCGGGTTTTTTCCTTCCCTTGCCAGTGCCTTGGCAGACACGCTAATGAGTGGGAAAGTGTTTAAGTGCGCCCAGAAAGCAAAGAAATGGAAGCAAGGATTTGGAGAATTAGTTCTAATCACTCAAATTTCTATATCCAGGTATATACTGCTTTCAAAAAAAAAGCATGGCAATTTTCATCCTATTTTCCTCATGACTCGTACTGTAATTGCACAGATGCCTTACATTGTTGCTTTGAAATTTAAGGGGCCACAAATGAGGTCATGGATTGCTTTAAGAATCTGATAAAAACTATCAGCCCTCTGACCCCCAAAAAACTGTCTACATACATATATACTGACATTGACTACAAAGGAATCATCAATCTCCTGAGGATTGAACATGCTGCCCCTTGAGTGCATGGGCCCAGCTTACATATTTCTTTCTAAGTGCACTTTGTCCAGGTTTTCAAAGGGTAGGAAATGCAATATTATGGCACAACCCTCTTTATTACACAGCTTGAGAGCCAAGTACTTCAAGATCTGCAAATACTTATATGCACATGATCTAAAAATCTTGAAAGGCCATTGTACGGTCAAACATATCACACTTGTTTTTAGGATGAGGATTTATACCTATTTGGATAACTTACCTACTTCATCATTCCATACCTCTTGGAGACAGTTTTCTTTCCTAACAAAAGGGGCAGATACTTAAAAGGAAAAGAAGGTGTGGCCACAATTTGCCTGGTGGCAGGGCTCTTGTCATGGGATGTGGACTGGGGGCTGGAGACAGCCAGCCGCACCTGCTACTCGAGAAGGAAGGATAAAGAATAAGGATGAGGCACCTTACACCTGGCTGCCAGGGGAGGGAGACTGCTCAGAATGGCCAAGAGACTAGAGCTGAATTTTTGAACATCATTTTAAAATGAAAGTGTATCAAGTTTATCCTCTTTCTTGGAGCACCAAGGGAAAGGGCAGAGAGTCTACTGGACCCACAAACAATTGGGGAGAGGAAAGAGAGTGTGCAGGCAAAAAGCCTCATGGAAAACAGTTACATGTTTGTTCAAATGGAACCGGGTTACAAGAGAAAAAGAGTAATTAGGGGGTGAAGGCAGAGGAAAGAAAGGATTAGAACTGACAAAGAAGTGTCTTTCATGTGGCCCTGTGTGGTGTTTGATGCAGTATTGTTCATGTACATCATCCCATGAACAACAGTAATCTAGAGCTTCTGGAAAACCATTTGGGATAGCAGATAAATACTGAATGATGATTGTCCAATTACAAACCAAACTAAGCGTAAGTGCATTGCAACATTCTTCACATTCTTCCAAGTATCGACAAAATACATGAACCATTTTCATCCATCACAGATATAGTTATTTAAGCTCTTTACACAGTACAGTTATTATGAAAACACAAGGAGACAGCTTGACTTACATGGTTAATGAAGAGACTCTTGCGTTTTTCTCTCACTGTGAAAACAAAAGATGCAATAGAAATGTTACACGCCTGCATGTCAACCCTCACAGGTTGCTGAGGCCTGGGCCTCAGTATCATGGTCCCAACCTTCCACCAACCAACGTGCTCAGTTGCTCATTCACCAAATATAAGAATATGAAACCTGCACAAATGCAGATCTGAATTTGGCTAACAAAAATATACATTCACTTAAACAACAGCACCCAAACAAAATAACTGCAGCTGAAATCCATTAAGGGCTAGCAAATTTCCACTAACTGAATAAAAGATTAATTAGTAAATCTCATAAAACTTGTATGCATCCATTAGTTTAACATGATTAACAAATAAGAGGACTATTTATTTCTAACCCAATCAGATCCATCAAGGCCCAAAGTATACTGGGAAAATGTAAACAACGACAACATCCACAACAGCATTAAGGTACAAGGTGATGAGGTATATCAGAAGCATCATTTATCACAGAAATCAGTTACCCTCCCTGCTGGGAGCTGGTGAATACGACTGGGCTTTTGTCCAGAGGCCCTGGAGCACCTTGCCACACTATCCCTGTCCCAAGAGGCTGACAGAACTCACCATAACTGACAGTGGGAGAGCCTTTCACACTGTTGTCTACATGACCTGTACTGAGCAGTTCAGCCTCCAGGGCCCCCAGACCTAAATGTGTCTCAGAACAGCGGTCCTCATCCCCAAAGAGGTAGAAGAGTGACAGGGAACCTCAGGAGCCTGGAATAACCTAGTATCGGGAATCTGCATTTTCTTTCCTGAAGACACACTTTTGTGGGTGCATACTAATCCATTAACACATTTACTAAGTAGTTACTGTAGGGGACATAAAGAATATGAGATGAGATACTAGGTTCCAGGAACCACTAATGCTACCTTGGGATAGCCTAAAACGACAGATCTCACTTAAAATTGTGTGCAGATCTCACTTACGATCCAAGGAAGGTTTCTCCCTACAGCCCATGCTGTCAAAACAGATTCACTATCGTTTTCAAAAGCCTACCATTTTTCCTATTGCTCATATGCTGGTCTTGATTCCTCTTTTCCTTAGAAGGCCTAGCCTCTCTGGAATGACTGCTGTCTTCCCTCACTATCTCAAAGACATTTAAGATACAAAAGCAAGAATTAGTCTGAGAATACTGTAGGATGCATTAAAGATGGACATTGCTGCATAGAGATGCCTACACCAACTCTTCAGATTGGACCCACATGCAGGTGACCAGCCTACTACTCTCACAGGACAGGGGGCTCCAGCCATGTCTGAGGCCAGACCAGCACAACCACAGTGCAAGCACAGAGACAACAGCAAGGAACTGGGTCTGTGCTATGCTCAATGTGGAGGTGGCATGATTATTTTTCACCTCACTTCAAATAAGCATCCGCGTGTGAGCCATAACAAAAGAAAAATGAGGGTCTGGCTGGAAATGCTGGGTTTTAACTTCCTGGTGTGTGTGTGTGTGTGTGTGTGTGTGTGTGTGTGTTGCTGGAAATGCTGGGTTTTAACTTCCTGGTGTGTGTGTGTGTGTGTGTGTGTGTGTGTGTGTGTGTGTGTGTGTGTGTGTGGTATGTGTGTGCCCCTACATGTTTATTTTTCCTTAAATTACTTCATACTATCATGCACATAGCCAAGGATGGGAGTATGATGCCACTTCTGTGGTGATTTCCCATTGCTGAAGGGATGTGGAAACACTTTCCACATGGGCTATAGACCGGACAGCATTTCCACTAAATTCGGTAGATGACAATTAGCCCTTCCCTGAGCATCCCAGCAAACGATTTGTGCAACAGAAACTTTGTGTCTCTCAACTGTGGGAACCACCTCCCATAACAAGGTCATCTCCTTGGCTGCTCTGAATCATCCAGGACCCGCATTTATTTCTGAGCCGGGGCACAGAGGAACAGGACGCTCTGTACATTCAAGCTAAATTCTTAGTAAGTCCAGCAGGTGAAACAAAATGTGCCTTTTCCTTGCACTGACTTTGCTTCATGTGATTTCACTATAATATGTTACAGCCATGAGTATGACTCTATTTTCAGTTCCATGATTCCCTCTACTGAACCACCAAACACTGGGATAGTCTTGGGGACCCCAACACAGCTGCCCTGCAGAGAAGCATGGAAACAGGGAGAAGGAAGGTGCTGCCTTCGTTCCTAATGGCTTTTGTTCCACTTTCTTATGCGATCTCTACACTATCCTGGTGCTCTTAAATTAATTATTCCTTTTTCCCTAAGCTCATTGGAGCAGGACTAAGGCAGTACCGAGGGAAATAATAAGTGGAATCTTATACAGTGGTATATCACCAGAAGAGACTGACAAAATTACCCAAATCTAAATCTGTCTTTGAAATAAATCTGGAACCACTGAGGCAAATTAATCAGCTCTAAACTTCAAAATGTTTTAGCTATTTTGTTTTATGTAATGGTATAAGCAGTATGCCACCTCATTCCTAATAGTTGACTTTAATCATTTTAAAACTTCAATATTTTTGATTACCATTAACATATCAATCAAAATCTCTGGAGTTTTCTGAGTTCCTATGAAATTGAGTGAACTAATAGTCATATTTTGCTTCATTAGAGAAAACAGGCAACAAATTGATGTGGACCATAAATCTCATCTTTCCAGGGAGAAGAAGAATAGCCATCTCCTTTGATCCAATTATGACAGTTTGTTAAGAGGATTTTTAATTGGCTACAGTGATAGTCCATAATGACTTAAACAAAATGTTCTAGAGGTTTTAAAAATAAGCCACCCAAAATCAGCAAAAACACTACCATTGGCACTAGAAGTCTTCTCCAGATAAAATGAGGAGTGAGGAGTAAATGGCAGTGTTTGCAATCTGAGTGACAAACAAAACTCCACTTCAGTTGTAATGGGACATTCCCTTGTTACAAGGCCACAGAAGTACAAGTTATTTACTCTTAAAAATACAACTTTCTGGGAAAACCTAGTACCTAATTGTTCATGAGAATTTGTTAACAATCTAAACATAATTTCAGTCCCTTTTACAGAAAGGCATTTTAAAAGTTACCTTGATATCTCCCCTTCTATTTCTAAAATGACCTTCCACTTCATGGTGGCAGGTGTCAGCCACCATGAAGCCACAGGATGTTAGGACTAAGGAGGTCCTGAGATACCATCCAATCCAACATCCTTCTCTTAAAAGTGAGGAGACCTTTATTATTTTATTTTAATTTTTTAATTTTAAACATATTTTTAATTTTAAAATTGTGGGGTACAGTTAAGGGTTAGGTATACAAATACGCACCGTTCAGGCACCCTTGTCGATAAGGTGTGTCCCCGCATCCCCAGACAGATATTGACTACCGTTAATCCCACCACCCTTGCCCTCCCTGTGCCCCCCATAGATTCCCACCACTGTCGATCCTTTTCTTATAGTATTATTGATAGATGTTCAAGGTCTACTTATGAGTGAGAACATGTGATACTCGGATCTTTGTTGCTGTGAAAGATCACTCAGTATTATAGACTCTAGTTCCATCCAGGTTGCTGCGAAATTCATAATTTTGTTCTTTTTCATAGCTGCGTAGTATTCCATTGTGTATATATACCACATTTTAAAAATCCAGTCCTCTTTTGATGGGCAGCATGGTTGGTTCCAGGGTCTTGCTATTGTGAACAATGCTGCGATAAACATGCATGTACAGGTATCTTTTTCATAGAGTGATTTCAGTTCTTCAGGGTATATTCCCAGTAGGGGGATTGTAGGGTCATATGGGAGGCCGATATTTAAAGCTTTTAGGAATCACCACACTGCTTTCCACAGAGGTTGCACTAGTTTACACTCCCACCAACAGTGTAGAAGTGTTCCCTTTCCACCACATCCTCTCCAGCATCTGTTATTTTTTTGAGTTACTGATAATGGCTATTCTGACTGGAGTTAGGTGGTATCTCAGTGTGGTTTTAATTTGCATCTCCTTGATGATTAGTGAGGTTGAACATTTCTTCATGTGTCTATTGGTCGCTTGTATGTCTTCTTTTATTGAAAAGCAAGAGATCATTGAAAAAGGTGACACTGTGAAACTGTTTCTCTCAGCTCTTACTATGCTGATTTTCTATTCATTTACATTGAATTAGAATAAAATATTTTGAAACAACAACCACAAAAAAGTGAGGAGACCATCCAGGACGGCCCAGTAGGGTAATGACTAGAGGGGGAGCTGAGGCGGTGTTTGCTGGTACTTCCCCTCCCCTGCCCCCTCCTCCAGCAGCATTGCTGGTGTGCAGAAGCTCCCCTGGAATCTACATGAAATGAGCCCCACTTTAAAACAGAATGGCAATTAGAACTCAAAATTAGCAGAGTTGAGCTATCTACAAGGGTATTAATTATTCTAGATGTGAAGGACTGGCAGGCCACACAAGTAGCAGGCTTTGGTTATAGTGTAAAGAATTCTAGAATTTTGTTTGGAGATGTAAAACTGATTGCTGAGATAGCATCACCAATGTGGACCACAAAAATCTGGCTCACAAGAAAAGGTTTTGCTTCCCTTTCTTTTTTTCCTGTGGGTAACATAGATCAGACTTTGAACAAACAAATTAAAAGTTCAGTATTAATTTTTCTTACAATGTTTGAGATTACCCCACAATTCCTACAGTTTTCAATAATTCAGTGAATTTAATCACCCCTAAATTCAAAACACAACTGGTGAGCCCCTGTTTGGAGTACATACAGAGGTCCTGCCTTGCTTTCCTACCCTGGCAAGGAGGTAGGTAACCAGGACACAGAGTGCACTGTGGCAGGAACACTACCTCCACTTTGGAGTCCAACAAGTCATCCTGGTGAGGTCATTTCCTCATGAGGCATGCTTCTTATGCTTCTGGAAGGGAGCATCCCACTGGACCTATGGCTGCTCTGGATCATCCTGGGTCTGTACTTATTTCTAAACCCAAGCAAAGAGGAACAGGACAGTCTGTACATCCAGGCCAAAATCTTAATGAGCAAGGCAGATAAAACAAAAATGAAAAGCGAAGAAAATTTTCTAGAGTTGAATAGGACAGACCCAGTCACTGAAAGGAGGAAATTTCAGGGCGAGAGTATAGAAGGCAGTTGAAGAAAGGACATGGGAGAAAACTATTCAAAAACAAGTATCAATTGCATATGGTGGTTCATGCCTGTAATCCCAGCACTTTAGGAGGCCAAGGCAGCAGGATCACTTGAGGACAGGAGTTTAAGAGCAGCCTGGGCATTACAACAAGACCCTACCTCTACAAACATTTTTAAAAAATTAACTGTGTATGATGGCATGCTCCTGTAGACCTAGTTACTTAGGAGGCTAAGGCAGGAGAATCCCTTGAGTCCAGGAGTTCAAGGCTGCAGTGCACTATGATGCCATCACTGCATTCCAGTGTGGGCAAAAGAGTAAGACCCTGCCTCTAAAACCAAAAATCAAACAAGAACAAGTATCCAGTTAAGCTGTCAAGTCACTAGAGATTTTTTCTGTTTCCTGTAAAAAATATCTAGGCCAAAGGATTTCTTCAGAAGCACAGAAACTTCAACTACGTGAGATCTTTTCAACACTTTTTTGTTTTGAAATGCATGCTTACTGGAAAATATAGAGCAGTATAAAGAAGAAAATACAACTGCAAATAAAAATTCAAACTTGGAAAACACAGAGCTATGTAAAAAACATAAAAATACAGACTGAGTAGCCCTTACCTGAAATGCTTGGATGCAGAAGTGTTTCAGATTTTAGAATTTTTAAGATTTTGGAATATTTGCACGATTTGAGCATCCCAGATCCAAAAATCTGAACTCCAAAATGCTCCAGTGAGTTTCCTTTGAACATAATGTTGGTACTCAAAGTTACTTGCTTTGGAGCATTTCAGATTTCAGATTTTTGGGTTTGGTATGCTCAACCTGTATAATCCGACAACCCAGAGGCAGCCACAATCCATATTTTGGTGTGTACCCTTCAAGTCTTTTCTCTGTATATACTTAGTATATACAGACATAACAAGCATTTTGTGTACTTTTGCATATGGATATATTTGTATATAAGCATGTGCAAAAATATACATGTACTCACACATAAACATGTCAATAGAAATATGCCCATTTTCCTATTGCTGTGTTATGATTTTTATTGATTGCATAATTCTTTAATGCATACTAATCCTTTGTCATATAAATTATGACATTTTCCCCATTTGATGATTTCATTATTAGGATACGTTTTGACACAAGTCTTCATTTTTAGGGTGGGTATGTATCCATTTATCCATTCATTCATTCATTCATTCATTCATTTAGATAGGGTCCCACTCTTGTCACCCAGGCTGGAATGCTGTGGCACAATCATAATTCACTGCAGTCTCAAACTCCTGGCCTCAAGCGATCTTCCTGCCTCAGCCTCCCAAAGTTCTAGGATTACAGATGTGTGAGCCACCCTGCCCAGCCTCCTCCATTGCTTTCAAAAACTTACACACACCTTCCCTTTTCTAACACTAAATATTCATTTATATTGTTTCTTGATATTTATGATTATATTTGTTTCATTTAATCTATCACTAGTCAATTAATCAGAAATCTATCTGGTACATAGTGGAGGTAAGGTTATAACTTGATTTCTTAGGTGAAGAGTCAAAGTGCTGTGTATACTATTAGAATGGGCTGCTATCAAGCCCTGGCTGATATCACTTCAGACCTGACTTCTTCCTGGTTTGTTTTCAGTGTGTGGAAGAACTCTTAAATGGGGGTGGGAAGAGAGTCCAAGATCGATCTATCTGTTTCAAGGAAACAAGGAATGAAAAAAATGGGCCAGGGCACAGCAGAGCATAAACCCCAGCTCTACTCTCGCACTGATATCCATCCCTTGTCCTCCTGGCCAGGGCCAGCATTCTGGCATGGGGTATTGCAGTCAATACAAGGAGAACTCTAACCTAAGACAAGCTAAGAAGACGGCAGAGACTCAGGTCAGGGAAGAAACTCAATCCACTGAGCAAATGAGAACCGACACTCCCAAGTAAAGATCGCATTGACTGAGAACTTCTGCTATCTTAGATACTGGCTCAGCCCTTTGATGGTTGGTCCTCCTGACAATCTCACAAAGAGGTCCTAACTCCATTACCCTGAAAAACTTCAGATTCAGGAGAACCACATGGATCCCATGCACCAAAACCTAAGCTGCTGACTATGGAGGGAGGAAGTCAAGGGCAGGAAGCTCAGTCTAGGGGCTGGTGTAGTCATCCAGGTGGGGAACTAAGGTGGCAGCAATGGGGATGAGCAAGAGTAATCAAATGCAAGGGTGGGTATAGAGGTAGAACTCAGTACTGTGGACTGCCTGGCTGCGGTGGTGTGCTGGTAAATATAAGAGCTACACTTAAAAAAACAAAACAAAACACTGATTTGTAGCATTTGCCAATTCCATGGTGCAAAGATCTTCTATTTCAAGCCACCAGCATGTTATCATTGAACCTGGAGCTGGAAAAAAGTGTGCAGTTTCTTGCAGGCCAAAGCAGAGTGAGCCCAGCACTCCTCCTACTGTGGGGCTTGAGGAGAGTGGAGAGTCAGGAAAATGAAAAGCCTAGCCTGGCCTGGGGCTGAGCAGGGCAGGAAATGCAGAAAATTAACTGGGTTCATACATTGTCTGGGATACAGTGAGCTAGAGGACTCATAACTGTGTTGTAAGAAAGTCCAGCAGGCAGTTGCATACGTGGGTTTTGCAAAGAAAAAATGTGGTTAGACATGACAGGTGACATGAAAGCCATGAGGAACTGTGCAGACCAAAAAGAGAAGAAAGCAAAGGGGAGACCCTGGGAAACACCACATTAAAGGGGTGAGTGGAGGAGAAGAAGTTTATTACGAAGTCTGAGAAAGAGCCTACAGAAAGGAAAGATTTCTCAGGACCTATTTGCCAAAAGTCAATTCACCAAATAGCCAATTCTCTGATAATCATTTCACCAAAGAACTCATTAATTCAAGTGACCAATTCTACTTATTTTTAAAATCTATTTCTTTTAATCAATTATAAGGTAATTGTTCTTTAGATAGACTTGTTTTCAGCAAATAGACCTATAAGAAGTCAAAAGAGGAGCTTTAGGCCACATGGAATAGCTGGTGACCACAAAAGCCACAGGAGTGGGCCAGAGCCAAGGGAAGGAAAATGTCCACAGGTTTCCACAGAATGGCAAATGGGGAAGAACCCTGCAGGAGAACAAACAGAGAGAGAAGTACACCCAGCAGCACAGACGCTTTCACCAGCACAGTGGTGGAAAGGAATTGGGGCGGGGGGGAGGAGGGCAGGAAAGAGCTGGCTAAGTTCCCTTTTCTTGTTTTCTACCTGTGGGACTCAAGTGTGTTCACACATTGAGTGGAAAGATCCTTTAAGGAGAAACTGAAGCAATAAACAAAGGAGTCAGAGTAACTGATGTCCTTATGCTCCAGAAGAGGAAGGGGAAGGAGATTTGGAGAACAGGTGAAGGGGGAGACAGCGCTCCCCAGGCTGTGTCTGCAACAGTCCTGCCTTAGGTTGTTGCCTTTGCCCTTGACAACCAAGGTAGGGAAATTCACTTAGATGCTCTTATGCATCATCCAAATCTTATCAGGACACTTTCTGAATGAAGTTGGTCTCTACCGTGAGTTCAGGAGAAGCAAAAACCAAACCAGAAGGTAAGCCAACTTTGTAACTTACTTCCATAGCAGTATCATTAAGTGTCTGCTAAAACTTGGTTTTGACCCTCATTTTTCGTTGTTTCAATCTCTCAAACTCACTGTCACTTTCTTCCCTTGGTTATGTCCTGCCCCCCCACCCCACCCCACCCCCCACCCCCCCCCCGAGGAAAAAATGAGTTTGTTGTACTCAACACATTAAAAACTTACTTCACAAGTACCCGGTGCCTACACTAATGTATTCTTGTTTTTGGAAACATTTACTTTTCGTAAACACATCAAAATCTTTCCAATTAAGTCAGTGGCCCACTTAATTAAAGACCACCAATATTACTACATACCTTGCCAATACTGTTACTTCATCATTACTGAGGTGTTATCAATTCTTAAATATGAATATACTTTCTTAAACATGCTTAGTTATTTTCTAGCCAATTTAGGATCTTCCCTAAATTGGAGCTTAGCAAATTGCCAAGAGTGTCAGGGACAGAATAATGTAGGACTCCAGTATCTTAAAGTAACATCCTTGTCACTATGACATCATTTAACAAATTCCTCCTGCCATGCTTTTCTATAGGAATCCAATTAAGATACACTGTATTGTATGTCTTACTCTATCTCTTCTTTGTAGTCAACAATCAGAGATAGTAAGATAAGCCAGGGATTGAAAAGAGGAGAAATCCCACACACACCTGGGAGGAATCACATAGATCACAGAATCCATAAAAATAAACGGGTTATTAAAGTGTGGCCTAAAGAAAAAAATATCTGCACCTAGTGTCTGGGTTCAATTCCACTCTCAATTGATATAACAGAGCTAGTTAATGATGCTTTTATTTAAGGATTTTATTTTGCTTTCTATTACATACTATCAAAACTAACAAATACTTCTCATCTTTTGAGAAATTATGGAAATATCAGGTATTAAAGAAAAATTTCTGACCCTTAGGGTAGAAGCTCCTTTTACAGAATGTATTTAGAAATAATACAGCTGATAGGTAAAATGAGGTTGGTATTTTGACCAGAAAATTTTTAAAACATAACTCAGGACAAAGGAAAAAAACCCAAGGAAACCACCATTAATCAATTACTTGGAGGTCACTAAAGGGGATTCTATTTCACCTTGAAAACAAAATCTAGTGGAAATTCAAGACTTGGGCTAATTACCAACATGAGTCTTTAAAAAAAAAAAGAAAGAAAGAAAAAAGAAGACTTAAATTAGAAACCTACCGTCCGTCTGAGATTTACTGAGGAATATTGTGCTGGCCCGAGGATGATCTGAAGGATTGAATTCCATGTTCAAATCTTTAAAAAAAAAAAAAAAGAAATTATATAAATAAACCATCTGATAACTAAGGACAACCAAGATTAACTTTCCATTTTTTCAACCATAAATTGCTAATATGTTCAAAGATTCTGGAAGCCTACAGTTATTGCGTTAATTGATTCAATGGAGAACACTGCTACTTAGAAATGTAAAAAAGTCACACATAAAAATGAGACACTTGGCTGGAGATCACTTAATCTAAAAAACAAAAAAAACCTCCATTTTCTTTTGAATAAGGCTGCTTTGCACCAAGAGACTTCAAAACAGCAGGACAGAGTTATCACGTGCACTAAAGAAGAGTTGGGTGCTACAACTGACTCAAAACTCCACAGCTAGGGACACGGCATTTCTTGTTAAAGATGATTAAACAGGATCAATACTTCAGCTATAGTTAGGCCGAATCAGCATCAACGTATTCTAACTCACAATGGTTATTATTTTCTGAAAAGGTAAAACTTATCCTTTAGTGCAAAGACTGCAAATCGGTCATTTGTGGTCCTAATCTGGGCTATGAATCCATACTTCTTTATTTTTTTTAATTTAAGCCAACATATAAAAATCAAGAGTTTTCAAGCATCACAAAGGGGCGAAAAATCCCTATTTTCAGCTTCTCTTGAGAAATCAGATCATTTGGCACCATCAGCCCCGCCCACTGGTCACATTCAGCTGACCCCAAAGCAGCTGTGGCCCCTTCAGATAGGACATGGATTTCAGCTCCTCAGGGACCACCCCTCTCTGTCTTTCTGACACTCGCCAGCTGGTCCTCACTTTCCACACCTTCCTCCCCTGCAGGCCTTTGATTTTACAATCCCTGCCGTAGGACCATCTCCAAGAGGTAGGACTTGTCAGTATGGTATAAACAACTTAGAAACCGGTCATAAGAGTTTTTCCAGGTCAGAATGATTAAGCAAAACAGGAGAATTAGGGGAGCAAAGAAAGATTAAAATGGTCTTTAAATCAGCTTACAGCATCAAAATGAAAATTTTGGCTTCAATAAATTTGCAGAGATACCTAATCAATACCAATAAAAACAGACAGGACCTATCCATAGTTTCTATGCCTATCCTAGAAAAACAAGGTGGTCAAATAGACACTAGAGGAAGCAGCTCATCACTTATCCACATACAGTCTCATTCTCAGCAAATTTCTGGAGTATACAATGTTTCCTACCTCAGCCACTGGCTTTCACTGGACTATGGTTCCTAACTTCTCACTGGGTACTTGATTAAAAAACACCTATTGAATCTTACACAGACGCGACGTCAATTATTTGGTCCTTCTTACATTATGCTACTTTTATTAAAGTTACACAGTAGTTTCACAGCTAAAAGCATTAAAGGAATTTGATGAAAGAAGAAAGATGAGCCAATGAGACACTGAATTTTTCAAACTTGCTTCAATTTGAACCAGGTAAAGTCAGGTGAGAAATTCTGTGATGAAAATGACTCTTTATGAGGGGGTTTCCTGATCAACTAGGAACTTGTTTTCAAAGGGGTTAAAAAACAAAATATGTTACTAAATTTTTTGAGGACCTCTGCATATCAAAATGAGGATAAATATGTAATCCTAACTATGACGGAGGCTGCTAACTTCCAAAAACCTTAACACACCATCCCCACAGAAAAGCATCTACTGAACATCACGCATGCAGCAACCACATGCCAGCAAGGTAACACTGGGACGCCAATCCCCTGGCCTCCCTTAACACCCAGCTCAGACTCTTCTACCAGACCCATTTTCTTTAAGCCCACTTTTACTATGAAAATACCCTCAGTGGGGGTTTGTAGAGCACCACAAACAAGTGTGAAGCTTTCCTGTTTGGAACCAAAATAACACAAAATTGCCACTTATCAGGGAACCAGGACCCTGCTCTTAAGTCCAAGAATGTCCTGGGGGATTCTGTGCTATAATGTTCACAAGTCCTCAAAATTACTAGGATGAGGACATCACAGACTCTAAAAGAGGGCTTCCAAATGAGCATTTGTTATAGTGCATAACAGTACTTCTAGATGGTATGCCACTAGGAAATAGTACATCTAAATGCTATGCCTCCAGCAAAAAATCGTGTGAAGAATATTTTACTGACATGAAAATATACTATATGTCATCAGGTGAGGAGAGGGGTATGATACTATCTTGAGGTAAAATATGTGTAGGCATTGACAACATCAAAAGCATATACACCAATGTTTTGCTACCTTTGAATAACACAACTGAACAATTTTTTTGGCTTTCTATTTTTTAAGTTTTCTGAGTTGAGCACACTTTTGTTGGTTTGGTTTTTTTTTTTAACTTTTGTAATTTTAAAAGAACAATCTGTGAAACCTGATTTGAGATGTCAACAGCCTCTTGGTGGCTGGCCCACTTCTCCAGCACAGGCTGATGCTCCCAAGAGATTCCCTAAAGTCAGAGGAGATGCACACAGCGGCCCAAGATGAGTCTCCCCTCAGCATTGTCCTCTGCTGTAGGAACTCAGGGCGAAACATAACCATTGACAGCGACCCTGAGTGGAGGCACCCTCATCTTCTGTCCACAGCTCTGTTCCTCTTCTCTCTTCCTGCTCTCAACAGTCTTCCTGCCCTGGCGGGAAGGGCAGGATGACTGCTTGTTCTTCTGTGGGGAAGCCAAGCAGCAGGAATTGTCTCACACTTTCCCTATGAAAGGCAGTCACCAAGTGTGATGCCAGGAAACCACTGTCACAAGTTTCCTTCATGGTCAAGTCATAATTCCAGGTAGATGAGAATGTTCAGGTTGGGTGTGGTGGCTCACAGCACTTTGGGAGGACGAGGTAGCTGGGCATGGTGGCGCACACCTGTAGTTCCAGCTACTTGGAAGGCTGAGGCGGAAGGATCGTCTAAAGCCCAGCGGGTTGAGACTACAGTAGCCGTGAACATGACACTGCACTCCAGCCTGTGCAACAGAGCAATTAAAAAAAAAATAAAAAAAGGCCAGTGCCTGCAGTGATATTCACAGATGAAGCAAGTAATTCCCAGATCTTGATGAAAACTACAGTAATTACAATATGTACTGTAGCATGGGAACTCCCTTTTACAGGGAGCAAAAACTGGGGAAAGCCACAAGCCAAGCAAAAAGAACCTACTGTATCATTCAGACTTAACACTCTGAAGTCAAGCATGACAAAATTGCAACTTTAGCCAGAAACAAAAAATTCCTTTGCTGTAGGGAGTCAGAAAGAATGACACCTCAAACATGTACGATGATTTGAAAAACTTTGGGGAGGGTGTGGCAGTTTCAGTTCAGCTGGGTGTTTCCAAATAACAAGTATTTAAAAAAAGAAATTCATGGAATATTGAGCTTAAACTAGAGATTATAGCTGAAATAAACTTCGCTGCTAAAGTACACTGAGCACGTGGCTAAAATCAGTTCTAACTGTGTACTACCAATTTTAAAGCACCAACAGAAACACTAATTGTTTGCATAATCCTCCCTCAATCCATCACCAAATCATTACTCTTCAGCCCCCCCAAGTCCCCTCCTGAACCACTCAGATTCACCTTCCCAGTGCACAGGGAATGCCAGCTTTTCACACCTGCTCTCGTCAAGCTCTTGAAGTACCTCACATGCTAAATTGCCCAGAAGAAGAATTAATAACTTGTAAAATTGAAACAGGGTCATTTTAGCAGAAACCACTGCCCTTACTGAAAAGAGTGACACCCCCTGTAGTTTTTCCATCCCCAAGAGAAGACATGCAGAGAGGAGCAGGCTGGTGACACCACACAGAAGCCACAGTTTGCCCCAAGGCAGGTCAGCATGTGGCCAGCTTCTGGGAGGGGCACAGAGAAGTGGTTATCCTGCATAGTCTAACCCACACAAACTTACAATTAATTCAGGGGGACAAGATGAAGTGCACAACACATTCGAGTGCAGGACCAGTTAGTGAACAACGAAGAACAAAATATCTGGCCAAATTCTGTGAGACAGAGAATAGTGTGCTTAAAACAACATAGCTTAAACGAAGTACTGGACTCGTTCTAAGAGTCAAAAAGAAATATTGCATTTTTTTTCTAGCAAGGCTATTCGACTGAATTCCACTAAATTGAACAAACATGCACTAATTCCTTATTACATGCTAGGTTTTGTGATCAATCAAACAAAAGCAGCACCTCTTTAGAGTAGTACCTACCTATGTGCCTATCCTATTATCTACATGGACTATTTTGTGGTCCTAAAAATGCATTCTTGATTTTCAAAGGGCTACAGTCGATTAACTGTGAGGTAAAATACGTATTTAGCTGTCTTCAAAATGCATCATATGATATTTCTATCGCATATTTATCTTCACAATTATAACGGGATGGGATAAGATAGCATTTTATCAGAAACCATGGGTATGACTACTGAGGGACTGTCAAGGCCAGTCCAGTCTGCCATGGTTTTCCTTCATTCATTCATTCAACAAATAATCACTGCGCATCTATTAGTGCCAAGCACTGCTGAGTTCCAGATACTGACAATATAGAAGTCACAAAAGATCTTGATCGAGTCCCAGCCCTATGAAAGCATCCCTCTAAGTTGAAGGTGTGTGAAATACCAGCAGAGAAAACAAAAAGAATGAAAAACCCATCAAGAATGGCTCTATATAATCTGCAACCCACATTTAGAAAGTTTAAGTTAAATCCTCCAGGAGTTCTGGGAATCACTCATTCTCCCAGAGAAGTTCAAATGGTAGAGCAGAAAAAACACATTTTATAATTTAAAGAATCCATATTTGGGTTCAGCCCTGTCAGTTCTATGTCCTTGAGCAAATTGTGATAGTATTTTGGTCTCATTTTCCTTATCTATAAAGTGGGCTGATAATATGACTTAGAGGACTGCTGTGGAGATTAGGAGTTCATACATAAAGCATAGGCAGGATGTCTGCCACATAATAGGGGCCCCATCAATAATGGGTATTAAAAACATTATGCCACAGTACCTAGCTCAGGGCTTAAGAAATAAAACTCTCAATACATAAA